GGGCGGATTAGGGTTGCGCCGCCGCCGGCGGTGATTTTCGGCTGGCGGCGATGGGGCGAAAGGCGGTGGTGAAGGGCGGAGCCATGGCCGGCGTTACAAATAAGGGGGGGGGGGGTACGAGGAAGGTAAATTTTTGTCTTAGGGTTTGGAATTGTTTTCAGACAAATATATTTAAAATTCAAGATCCATTTGTGGCCATTGGATGAGAAGAATTGAACGGACCAGATTAACTCCAGCAAAACGACGTCATTTGGATTTATTGAAGAGCCGGACCGGGTCTAAAGTGATTGGGCCTGGGTGAGCGGATTTTTTGGGGTTTTGGGCTGAAGAGTTTGGGCCTGTTTTGCTTTCTTTTTCTTTGTTTTTCTTTTCTTCTTCTTCCTTTTTTATTGTTATTTTCTGATTTTCCTTTTTTGTATTTTTTTTTTATAAATTTTTGATTTTATAGAATGTTAAATTAAAATTCAAAATCAAATTGACGCTAAACATATATTTCCTAATTTCCAAACGCAAACAAAGTACCATTTTTGTTATTTTCTTTATATTTGTTCTAAACAAATTAATACTAATTAATACTGAAATGTGAAATCAAGTCTCTAAATGCATATATTTTGTATTTTCATATGAATAAAAATGCAACCAATTAACACAATATTCAACAAAATTCACAAAAATTGTAAAATCATTTTATTTGAAACTCTTGGAATAATTTGCTTAGGGCAAAAATCACGTGCTCACAACATCAAGAGTCACCACTTGGCAAGGAATATTTTTTTTCCACAACAATACAACTTTTTTTTTCTTTTCTTTTCTTTTTCAATTCAAGTGGCTCTTGCTCTTTCAAATCAGTGCACCTTTCTCTTTGTTTCTACTCAAAAGCCGAACCAACCACCCCACACTTTAACTTTTACAAAGTTCATAACAATTCAAGTGCTCATGAGAGGTGAAAGGGTTCAAATAGATGGTTAACAAATGAGTAAGGCTTGTAATGTGGTTGCCAAAGAAACAGGATTATAGGCTCAAAGGGGTTAACTACGATACATAACAATTAGGTGGGTAAAATATACGTATGGCTCAACAAAGAAATGCCTATATCACTTTCAAGACTGAACAAAACTACTATTTCACTTTGCAAACACACGGGGCAAATTCTAGACATCAAATGTAATGCACTGAATACACCCAAACCTCACACGCACATGGCACATGACTCACTCAAGATTGGATCATCCAGACACTCTAGTCAAAGCAGTTAAGCAAATTTAAAAATCTATGATTTAAGGTGCTTATACTAGAGTCAAAAACTGAGCCTAAGCATTACAACCAAAGTACTCGCTATTCTCAAGGCATAACAAAGTCAAGTGATAAGTTATGGTATTTTGAGTTTTGATGATTTGCCAAACAGTCTTGAGGAACCAGTTGTGATCAGTTTCTTAGGTTTGGTTCTTAGGAGGGATATGGCTAATTCGTAGGGGAAACAATGTGGAGATCCGGTTCTCAGGGGAAAATCAATTCTAAGTTTGTCATCATCAAAAAGGGAGAAATTGATAGGTTACAAGTACTTTGGGCATAAGTACTTTACTTTATGTTTTGATGATCTAACAAACTTTCCATCCAGAACCAGATAAGGAACCTGTTACACATTTACAAGACCTTAAGCTCACAAAGTTCCAGGTTGGGATCCAGCGTAAGATATAATACAACTCTTCAGAGTGGAAGGAACAACTGAGGAAACAGGTCCCTGCCGGTTCTCGAGGAGACTGTATGAAGTCAACTCTCAAGCTGGAAAGTTGCTGCACTGTACCGTCTGGCAGACTGCTGCACTGTACCATCTGGCAGCAGTACAGCAGCACAGCTGTAGCTTGCTAAGGCCAAACTAAAGGACACTTTGTTGCATCATCCTTGATGACATCACATACGCATATTATCAACATGAGGCAAGGAATTTCATTTCTCTAACACTTCAAAAAATTAAACGAAAATATTTTCTCAAGTGCTAGCCACAACATCTCTCAAGAACAAAGCTGCTACAACCTCAAGGACCAGATCCAAAGATTGGAGATATCTTAAGTCCTTTGATTTATTGTTTCTTTGTTATTTGTTCTTCATTTGTAACTCCTACTTAGCTTAGTTAGAAGCATTGTGTAGGAACCCCTTTGTAAAACCATAAAATTTCTAAGTTTGTGTTGTGACTAGAGTTAGTCATAAGTTGAAGTATTTGTAACTAGTGAGTGACAAAGTGGCTTGTGGTAAGTGCATCACAAGTTAGTTGAGTTGAAGTCTTTGTAACTAGTGAGTGACAAAGTGGCTTGTGGTAAGTGTATCACAAGTTAATTGAGTTGAAGTCTTTGTAACTAGTGAGTGACAAAGTGGCTTGTGGTAAGTGCATCACAAGTTAGTTGAGTTGAAGTCTTTGTAATAGAGTCATTATAAAGTGGCTTGTAATAGTGTGTTTACAAGTTAGTAAAGTTGAAAGCCTACAAGTGTAGGTCGTGGTTTTTGTCCCCTTGAGTTGTGATTTTTCCACGTAAAAATCCTCTGTGTTCTTTATTTATTGCCGAGTTACTGTGGGAACAATTAGAGAACCTGATTCCCTATACTGTTTGGTTTTACAGTCTGTTGCTTACAGTGGGAACTGATAGAGAATCTGGTTCTCTATACATTCTGGTGGACGCTTAGTTTCTATCAATTGGTATCAGCGCAGGTTCTTTCTAAAAGGTTAACACCTAGAAAGGATCTACATGGCTGCTCCACCAAACTTCGAGGAAGGACAATCAACATACATACCATCAAGATTCAACAGTCAATACTATGGTTGGTGGAAAACAAGGATGCATGACTTCATAATGGCTGAGGATTCCGAGCTTTGGGATGTGATTTGTGATGGTCCCTTTGTCCCTATGAAGGCTATTGAAGAGGGAACAAGGATTGTTCCAAAAATAAGAAAAGAATACAATGGTGCTGACTGAAAAGCTATTGAGAAGAACTTCAAGGCGAAGAAGATTCTTGTGTGTGGTATTGGACCAGACGAGTATAATCGTATCTCAGCATGTGAATCTGCCAAGGAAATCTGGGAAGATCTTCAAACGGCTCACGAGGGAACTACTCAGGTAAAGCAGTCCAAAACAGATATGCTTACAACTGAGTATGAACTCTTTAAAATGGAAGAGCATGAGCTCATTCAAGAGATGCATACCCGTTTCACCTCCATAATCAATGAGCTTCATTCACTTGGTGAAATCATTCCAACCAACAAGCTGGTCCGGAAGATACTCAGTGTTCTACCAGGTTCCTGGGAGAGCAAGGTTAATGCTATCACTGAAGCCAAAGACCTGCAGAAGCTGACTATTGACGAGCTTATTGGAAATCTCAAAACATATGAGATGAAGAGAAAGAAGGATCTTGAAAGAAGAGAGACCAATGAGGAGAGGAACCTGGTTCTCAAAGCTGCCTTCACTGACTCAAGTAGTGATGAATCTGAAATGACGTATCTCTCTCGAAGATTCAAAAGATGGTTCGTAAAAATGGTGGGATCCTAAAGAAAGGAAGTTCCAGTAGGAATTTCAAAGGAAATAATTGTTGTCATAAGTGTGGAAAGCCCGGACACTTTGTTAAAGACTGCCCTCTTCATAAATAGGATCATTACAAAACTAACACTGATAAGGCAGCTAAGATGAACCCGGTCCCTGACGGGAAATTCAAAAGAAGAGATGTTGCTAACAACATGGTGAAGCAAGCTTTGGCTGACTGGGGAGATTCCTCCAGTGAATCTGAAGGTGAGGATGACCAAGGAGATGCATCTATGATGGTTGTTGATAATGAATATGAATCAATCTTTGCACTCATGGATCAATCTCATAATGACAAGGACAAGGAGGAAGATGAGGCATGTTTTCTTGATGTTCAAAGAAATTTAAAAACCTACTCTAAGAAAACATTAATGTCCTTAGCAAATGTGTTGATTGATGCCCACCATAGCCTCATTAATGAGAAAAATTCTTTAATTGAAGAAATTGATGACATAGAACAAGAAAGGGATAATATGGTAGTTTCTATTTTAGATTTGAAGGAACAAGTGGAAGAAGTAACTAGAGAAAATCACTTATTAAAGACAAACGAAAAATGGATGGACAACACTAAGGGTAAAGAAGTGGCTAGTAAGGCTCAGCATGAGCTTGAGAGTGGGCTTAAGAAAGTTAAAACAAGTCTTGTTGTTGAGCTTGAAAAGAATAGACAACTTCAGAAAGAACTAGGAAGAGTGAAGAGTGATCTTGAAAAATCACTTAAGTGGACCTGGTCCTCTGATGCTATCACTGCCATGTACACCAACAATGGGGGAAACAGGCAGGGAATCGGGCTCCAAAGGGAAAAAAAACTCCCTACAACCCTCATAGCAAGTACGTTACTGTACCTGAAAATTGACTTTGCACTCACTGTGGTAACACTAGGCACTTTAAAGAAAATTGTAAGGCCAGATTTCAATCTCAACAGAAAAACAAAGTTTTTGCTGAAAAAGTAACTGTTGTTAGGGAACCCGATCCTTCACATAAAAAATTTATAATGCCTGCTTGGACCAAAAGAGCCCTCATTCACCCCCTTCCTCATTACAAGGGACCCAAACTTATTTGGGTTCCTAAGTCTAACTCCTGATTTTCTTGTGTAAGGAACAGTGAAAGGGAGCAGCCTACAATGGTACATGGATAGCGGCTGCTCAAAGCATATGACTGGAAGTACAAACGATTTCCTTTCACTTAAGGCCCTGCAAGGAGAGAGTGTACCCTTTGGAAATAGCTAAAAGGGGTACACACTAGGAGTTGGAAGGATTGGGAAGTCACTCACTCACTCAATTGAGAACGTGTACTATGTCAATGGCCTGAAGTACAGTCTCTTGAGTGTTTCTCAGATATGTGACAAGGGAAATAAAGTGGAATTCTTGTCCAAGATATGCACAGTCACAAATCTTGTGACTGGTGAGGTGGTGGTTGTGGCCAAAAGATACAAGAATGTTTACGTTGCTGATTTTGAGTCTTTGCATGGTGGTGATCTAACATGCCTAAGTGTCACTGATGATGATGCTAAGTTATGGCGAAGATGACTAGGGCATGTGAGTTTTTATTTGTTGAACAAGTTGGTTATGGAGGAACTGGTTCTTGGGCTGAAGCAGTCAACAATTCCTGCTACTTGATTAACAAATACATGATCAGGTCCCTTCTCGAGAGGTCTCGCTATGAACTGCTCAATGGGAGAAAACTCAAGCTGACTTACCCGAGATCCTTTTGATGTAAAATATTTTGTTCTCAACAATAGTGGCAAGGGGTCACATAAAAAGAAGATGAAGATGGAGAATTCACAAATGCTCCTGGTGAAGCTATAGATATTGAAAATGGAAAGACTGATTTGATGTGTCAAGTCAAGTAGAGCAATGTAGAAGATACAGCAGAATCTCCAAAAGGCACAGATGGACCTGGTCCCTCGATGATTGGCTATGTTAAGAAGGAAAGGTACAATGCTAAAAAGTGTTTTTCGGTGACATCTAACTCAAACCTATACTGTTACAGGTATACACATATGGCAGTTTCACGACAAAAACAAGTAAGAGTTGTGAGCACGTAATTTTTGCCCTAAGCAAATTAATTCCAAAAGTTTCAAATAATTGATTTCTTTATTATTTTACAATTTTTGTGAATTTTTGTGTGAATTTTGGTATTAATTGGTTGCATTTTAATATGAAAATACAGGAAAATACGCACATGCATTTAGGGATTTTTATTTTTACAAATTTAGTATTAATTAGGTATTAATTAGATTTAGAATAAAGTTTAAAGAAAACTTGCAAAAAATAGGCTGTTGCGCTCTTAATTGTTAATTGCTGCGTTTTATTTCTAAATAGAGTTTTTT